GCAGAGAAGTTATGTTTGGACCAATTTAGGACATTTAATCTGAAGGCAAGATGACTAAGCAAGGAAGTGATAACTTTCCTCATTCATGTCAAGGGTTACAGAAATTGTTCTGTGTCAATGAATCAAGTTATGACACAGCGTAAGAGGCTTGAAACAGGGAATCTGGGCCAGCTTCATCGTGGTTCAGCCTCGTAACTTTTCCCCGGCTTCAGTTTCCTAATGAGTAAAGGTGGGTGGGAGTTGGGCTAGATCATCTCTGGGATGTCGTCTTCTCTTTTACAATGCGATCCTATCAGCCACAGAATCTGCATCAAAATCCCGTTTACACAGAGTTTGGGACAAAGGGTGTTTTTGATGAATGTATACTGTAGCAAAAGAGCTTGAACTGAGTAACGTTCAAACCAGTGCCATCACCCCATGACTCTGAGCCCCCTGTTTCCTCTGTTAAACTGAAATGAGAACATGACAGATTTCACGGAGCTTCTGTGAGAATCACGTGAGGTTATACATGTGAAAGCACCTAGTCAAAATGTCATGTTTATTATTGCCTTAGCCGGTTTATAACTTTTCCAAGAATCAGAATAGAAGAAAACACTCTTAAGCACCGCAGTCTACTTAAAATAATTTAATCTCTCTTCCGAGACTCAGAGGATCATTCAGGAAGTTACAAAATCTCAGGGTCATCGTCATGAGCAGGAAATAGTTCGGTAGAAAAAAGGTCCTGGCTGTTTGTATCCTTTGGTTTTTCAGATTCAGATGAAGTGGGAGGGTGTTGACGGTTAACCCAGAAAGGAACAGAGATCACGTACTCAAAGCCCCTCATTTTACAGAGGAAGCCACAGAGAGAAACTGCCCCAAATCAGCTGTTAACTAATGGGAGCTTTGGGGGTTAAGTCCAGGTTCCTGACTCCCAGCACAGTTTCCATCCTTAGTCTAAACACAGCTCAGAAAGCTTGAAATCAGGCTAAGAATGTACTGATGAAAGTGGCTGCCCCTTTGACCATGGAATCGAAGAACTATTAGAAGGAAATTTAGGGCCTGGGTCTATCATTGAAGGGTGTGACACCATGAACTTCACTTGACCCACTTGGAAAAAAAAACGCAGTAGAATTCTTAGGAATTTTGTTAATCGCAGCAGTTCATTTCTTCTGTACAAAATTCTTCTCAAATATGCTCTGAAGTGAATTGACATTAAAAATGCAGGTCTTAGTATGGCTCTCATGGGCTTATGATGTGCACGGGGGGGTAGTGTAACAGAGTGCAAAAAAAGGGTCTCTTCCTTTTACTAATGATTAGTAACATCTGTATTATTCAGCTTTGTTGAGTTAAAGTCGCAAGAGACAACCGTAAAGGCGGTTCTATGTGATATGTTCTCCCTCATCTTGTCTATGTGGCTTCTGTTACATTAGCAGCCGTGAGCCAGGGTAAGTCTCAAGGCCAGTGCCTATGAGCAGTGAGTAGCCAGTGAGGGCGGTGCTGTCTTCCCGATGTGTTCAAAGCAGAGTGCCACCTGCATCTCCCTCCTCTTCCCATTTATAAATCTACTTCTCCAGGGATATACAGATTTTTTTTGCTCTATTTTTAGTCTGTTGATAACCTGAGGAAACCTCCAAGGATCAAAGTCTGGGATGGGGAGGATTGAGTTCACTCAGTCTTTTCTGAAGCCCTAATAGATGCTGCAAATCAGTCTGAATTCTGACTCGGGGTGGGAAATGTGTGCGTAAGCACAGCGTGAGGGATAAGAGCACGGACTCTGAAACTAGACTGCCTGGGTTCGACTCTCAGCCCCTCTTGTTACCATGGCCATATGACCTTGGGCAAATCCCTTCGATGCACTGAGCCCGAGCTCCCTGATCTCATGGGGTTGCTGTGAGCATGCAGTTAAATGAACTTATATTTATAAAGCACTTACAATAGTGCTAGATGATAGATGTGCTTAATAAATGACTATTAAGCAAATTAAATGGTCCTAATTAGACAGAGTTGCCTCTGGGTCCAAGGCTCTATTCCATTTAGACGCTGTAACTCCCAGGCCTTAGGGCTGTTCGGTTTGAGGAAAGGGGGCTTCTTTTTCCTCAGTCGTTCTAGTGAGTCAAGGAGGAAACAGCACTAGGACTTGACTTTGAACACCGTAGTTTATCAAGCCCCTTTCCAGAAGCTCAGGCAGTATGTTTACCTTTTCTTTATGCTAAGGGAAGAGTAGTGACTCTGGTCAGTGTCCTGGGTGGCCTCAAGCAGGTAGCTTGGTCTGTTGGGGTCACTTTGGTAAACCTGCTAGGATTACCATGGTATTCCCTGGACTGACGGTGACTCGATGGCCCCCTTTTGCACACAGCCCAGAGCACTCAAGTTGGTTCCCCGGGAGGGGGTTTCCGCGGTGGCTCTGCTTGGCTTCAGGGACTGGGCTGTGGGAGACATTAATGGGAAGTGAAAAGACAAACTGTTGCCCTTCACCAGCAGGGCTGTTTGGAGTGTGTGACTCTTCTTGTATTTAGGGAAAAGATTACTCATGAGTATTTTCTTCCATAGAATATAAAGAACCTCAAATTACTACTTGCGTCCCCCACCCCCTTCTCACCCGCCTCCCTCCGGTTCAGTGAATCCTCTGCAGACACTTCAGCATTTTACTCTCATTTCCCCTCCCGAGTGGGATTCGGTTCTGTATTTGCTCTGGCACTCACATTTCCAATAAGCTACCCCATCGTTTTTCCTGTTTCTGATTGAGCATCTTCTGCCCTGTGGCCCGCCTACCACCAGGCTCTTTCCTAGGCCACGCTGCACTGGAACCTCACACCCGGCCCCAGGATCTGGTTATACCCATGCTGTTTGTGTGAAGGAGAGGAAGGGGAAAGTTCCTAGTAACAAATCACTAATCACTGTGCTGTTCCTGTTCAGAGGTGACACCACTGACAATAGGAAGTAAACGTTAAGGCTTCTTACTGGTTCAAAAATTGAGATCTTGCAGAGCCATCCTCACGCCCACCCCCATTTCATTGTGATTGAGATACGTGTTTTCAAGGTCACGGGAAGAGTAGGGGCACCTTCTGTATCCAAGGACCATTTGAAATGGGCATTACTTCTTGGCATAGTTAAGAGTCAGAAACAAAACCTTGAACTCTTTAGTGGCTGTGTTTTAGTCTCAAGATCATAGAGCAGTAGCATACTGCGCATTCTTATTTTATGATGCCACTTTTTTTTCCATGTAAAATTATTAAACGTACAAAACAAGAAAAAGAACTCTTAAATGCCCATCTCTGATTAGGCCAGTGCCCATAGTTCTTTCTTGGTGCCCTACGTGATAGCCTACTTTAGAAAGGACTTCCCCAGAGCTAAAGGAAGCCAGCTACCATTCTTCAAAACTAGACTTTGCAAAGGAGCCACCTGGAAGACAGAGCCAATAGTCATGCCCAGAGGCCCTGGACCTTCTCCAAGGGATCTGAGCTGTTTGTTCCCTGGTCCACTAGGGAGAAAAAGCAGCCCATCCAAGTAGACCAGACAGTTCTTTGTGATACTTAAGGATGAAAAGGTGACTCTTTCCAGGATCAAGCTGAAAGGCACTTTTACAGCACACTCAAGTCTCCTTAGCAAGTTTAAGTCACTTACTGGAGAGACTGAAGCTCCTCTTATCAAACCCTGATTCCATTGTACTTGAACTATTAATTCATGCAGTACAGTTTTAGAGAATGAAGCTTTGTTGAGCAGCTAGCTTCTTCCAACCTGTCCATTCTCATTTTGGTCTCAGGACTGCTTTCAATTCTTAAGAATTATTGAAGACCCCAAAGAGCTTTACTCATATGGATTATATCTATCTATATTTACCATATTGGAAATTAAAACTGAGAATTAAAAAAAAATGCTTACTAAAAAATAGTAAGCTAAGCTTATATTATTAGCATAAATATATATTTATGAATATATCTTCCAAAACAAAAAAAATTAGTGAGAAAAATGGCATTGTGTTACATTTTTGCAAGTCTCTTTTACAAATCATAGAAGATGGCTGGATTCTCATATCCACTGCAATATCACATGTCATGTAGCTTCTAGAAAATTCCACTCATGAACGCACGAGAGTGAAAAAAGTTCAGTAACCTCTTAATATTGTTATGAAAAGAGTTTTGACTTTATAGACACCCTGAAAAGGTCTTGGGAACCTGAGGAGTCCCCAGATCACACTTTGAGAACCACTGTTCTAAACCACCTGAATGATATATCAAAGATTTCCCATAACAGCAAAATGAAATAAAAATATAGACTCACAGTCCAGCATCCAGAAAGATCCAGCCTGAGCTACCCTCTTAACCTAAGCTGCAGCCCTCCCTTTGGTCCACTTCTGGTCCTACTCAGAGTCCAAGTACCACCCCCGCTAGGAAGTTCTAACATCAGAAAAGTAGAATAAAAAGGCAAAAGACCTTTTATCCTTACTTTACCCTCTCATTCCCAGAGGCTAGCCTGATAGTTTCCCGGAGGCTGAGTGAATTGTTCTTCCTGGAAGAAGTTTCAGGGAACACTTCATTATTTGGCAGCTCTCGAAGGTCAAGCCCAGCTCTGGAACATTCTCACTTCAAAAGGATAGTGGGTGACAATCAGCTCAGTTGTGATTCTAAGGTCCCCTCCAAAGCACATTGACATCTGTCATGACCATGTCAGGCCACCGAAGAGCCTCAGCTTTAGGGCATACCTGAGATCAAGACAGCCTCAGGAGCTGGACAAGGAAGGACAGGGCACCAAGACCTAGGGTCCATTAAAGACATAAAAAAGGATTTGTCTTCCCATTTTGCCTCTAAATAAACAGTTCATTGGACCATAATTTGGCACTTACAAATCTTGAGCTTTAACTTGGGATTCAGAGTTGAACATAAGGGCTCTTCAGACGTGGAGACTCAATTTTATTAACCATTCAGAAAGCTTTTCCCTTTATTCCAACTGTCTAACTGACAAGGCCTTTTTTTCTTCTCTCTCTCTCTCTCTCTCTTTATGCCTTGCTCTCTCTCCAACAGGCTTGCAGCCAATTTACTGGAGCAGGGATGACGTAGCCCAGTGGCTCAAGTGGGCTGAAAATGAGTTTTCTTTAAGGCCAATTGACAGCAACACGTTTGAAATGAATGGCAAAGCTCTCCTGCTGCTGACCAAAGAGGACTTTCGCTATCGATCTCCTCATTCAGGTGAGAGTCTGGACCCTTGACACGTGCTCAGCTGGGACAATCTGCTAGCCATTGGTTGGTCTTTGCCACCACTCGTCATGCCCAAGAACTCCCCACAGTAGGCCACCAGGAGCACAAAGACAATGACCTAAGCTTAGGAGAGGAACGATCCTGCTGACATAAGTCAGTATGAGGGGAAAAGAGGAAGAGTTTCCAGATCAAGGGGAAATTTGAAGGTTGGGAGAAGGAACCCACTTAGGACCTACAGGCACTGGAGCTTAAGGGACCTTGTTGTGACCACCAAATCAAGAAGAAAATGCATTCCAGCCCTTTCACGCTGCCTTGCTCCTGATTCTGAAATGTTTGAAAGAGATGCTTAGGAGTGAGTATAGGTGGTGAACTGCTCAGTGAAAACCAAAGACAGAAGAGGAAGGGGCATGAACCCTGCTAAGGTAGATGGAGTGGGAAGAAGAGACATGAGGGAACAGGAGGTAAGGATGGGAAGCAGTGGAGCTCCTAGAAGCTAAGGCAAGCTTAGAAATAAACTCAAGGGGCTTCAGGGTGACACCCTTTGCGGTACCGAACTGTGTGAAGTGTCGCATCTTGTAGCTTATAGAAATCCTGAAAAGTGCAGGTGGAAGACTTCTCAGCCTCATCTAACTAGGCAGTTTTGTCAAAATAAGGGCTCCCAAGACTCCATGGGAGGATTGGATTCAGTAAAGAGCTTTTGTACCTGCAGAGTGTATTGCTGACCTAGTTAAGACTTCAAATATACTTTCTAATTTCATTTCTTAAACATTATGGATATTTAGAAGATAGTTATTTGGAAACTCCGCATGTGAAAGGGGACCTTTGGTCTGGGGTTTATGCCTCTTGAGGGGCTAGTGAGTCAAGTACCAACAGACCCTCCTCTCGAGTCTCACTGTGGCCAATTTTGATGTAACTTGTCCAGCAGAGACTCTCTTTGTCTTGACAAAGGGCAAAGATCCTGCATAAGGTCTTGGCATAGTTCCAACGACGTTCAACCCTTATTTACTCCTGGAGGCCTGCCAGAAGTTAATAAACTAACCGTCATGAGGAAACATCGCCATCACAGGGGGTGAGGTAAGGATATAGAACAGTATCTACCCCGCTTTTCCCAATTGCAGCAGACCGTTTATATGAGGAAATGATAAAGGGAAGTTTCCCCCAGAAGTAGAGATGTTATTGAAACTTGAAAGTTTATTATCTCTGAAAAACAGATCATTTTTAAGGTTCTACAAAGGAATAGAGCCAGACATCCCTGAAACATTTTGTCTCAAGTCATTGATTCTTTCTGCTGTCTCAGAATATGAAAACTAGAGTAACCATATATGTAAATAAAACTAACCTAAAAGGAAACTACATAGTTCCTTTTAATTTAGTGCAAAAATACTTACCTTGTCTGTTCTTGTGAAAACACAAGGGTATACTCAAAGGGGCAAAGTCACCTCTCTGGAGGAAAGGAACTCTTAACTCTTTAGTGTGTTCCAGAAACACCATTCATGTAAGGCAAACAAGGGAAGACACAGGCATGCGTTTTGATGGGATTTGACTTGGCCCTTAGCCTGGCTTTCCTCCATGAGTCTTTAAGTCCCCCCGTGGTCATATCTCAGGTACTCCTTTTTGTTGCTGTTTTTCTCCCTAGTCACCTCTGTCCACTTTACCTAGAAACCAGAGATTCTCTCTGCTTGAAGCTGGAAGCAAAGATGGGCAACAGCCTCCCAGGAGGCCCTTGCCATTTTCTCAGGTCTCTGCCAGAGCGGGCCATGTGGTAGATGTACAGGATCCCTCAGTCCAGTTAGAGAGAGGGGATGGCATTGAACCTAAAGGCAAAAGGAAGCTGGAGAGGGGAGAGGACAGGGTAGGATGGGGTTTATGAAAGAAGGAATAGAGTTGATTTGGAGCATGAAGGATGGATGGAACTGAGGAGGTGGGGGGAGAACATTCCAGGTCACTGGAGCAGCATTAGCTTAGTGTATTTGGATGATGGTGAAATAGCCCATCTGATGAAGGGAAAAGGCCGGAGGTGGGAGGCCAGATGAAGTCAGTGCGCTAGGCTGGTCATGAGGCGCTTAGACCCCAGATAAGGAGCAGTAGAAATTCATTTGGTGAGTATTCGCTGAGCAACTCCGTGCTCGAGGTACAGAAGTATGGGCTAAGGAGGTTCAGGGAGAGCAGAGGCAATTTCTGACTGGCTTGTCAAACAAAAGCTCCAGGGTGTGGTCATGGAGCCAGACTTTGAAAGCTGGGAAAGGCAACTAAGGTGGAGGTAAGGAAAGGTGTTAAAGAGGAACTGTAGGTCAGTTGGTATGGAGATGGAGTTCAGAAGATAAGGCCATGCAAATTCGATCCTCTGTTTGAGACACTGCCCATCATCACTCATCGCCCCTGCCTGACATGTCTGATTGCCATTTCATATTTGAAGTTCTGCTGACCTTTTCCAGGAAAGCTTTCCCCGATTGCCATCCTGCTTCCCCGACTACCCCCTGCCGCCTTCCTTTCCTCTACCTCTTCCCTCCTCAGCCTGGGCTCGGTGCCGTTCCTCTTTTATCACAGAGCATACCCTCATTCTGGCGTGGCTTCTGACACACACACACACACACACACACACACACACCCCATGTTATATGTGATTGCTTTCTGTTCTGCATCCCTCTTCTAGAGCAGGAAGTTCATCTCGGCAAGGGGCTGTGTCTTGTTAAGCTGACTGGTCTCCAGCATTCAGCACAGTGCATGGCATCCAGTTGGCGCTCAACAAATCTTAATTGAATTATGACCTAACACATGAGTCCCTTAAAGCCCAAGTTGGGAAGTTTTGATTTTATTTTGCAGATAGTGGGAAACCACTGACAGGTTTTGATCAGGAGAATAATAGAATTGGAGCTCTCTCTTTGGAGCAGACCTTGGCCGTCGGTGCATAGGGTGGACTCAGAGGGTCCCTAAAAACAGGAGACCTAGTTAGAGTGTTCTTGCTACAGTCCTCATTGGAGACATTGAAATCCAGAACGAGATCAATGAGAGTAAAATAATAGGACTTCAGGCCCAGAATGGTGAGCTAAGATGAGGAACTCATGTGTAGGAAGGGCTAAGACTCATTTTGGCCAAGCGATGCCACAGCATCCAAAAAGACATGTCCTGTTCTGCAGTTGGAATTCTGACACCAGAGCCAGGCCAGAGCAGGGAATAGTAGATGGGAGCATTATCCCCATTATGTTGAGCTGGGAATAAAGAGAAATGTATCCTGTAGGTGATTTAATTAAGGCATTGACCAGAAAGTCATGGACAGAATTTCAAGGTGATACCTGCCAGTAGGGGCTGCAAGAAGACTTAACCACAGAACAGAGGGATGTTGTCAGAGGGTTTGGAAACAGAGCTAAGAAAAAGTTAAGAAGACTTTCTCATGACATGGCCACATGGTAATGAAGGCATGATCTACCTGCTGGCATTCTTCTTAGGTAGAGACAAGGTATAGATAGAAAATCTTTTTTAGCTCTCAAATGTCACATTTGCCACTATTTCTTCTGACATGGGCTTTCTGGGTTAGCATTTGATGTAGTACATGTCCCGAGGCCCGGGTTCTCTTCATGGCTCCTCCACAGGTCACAATACTTCATTGGCCCCTATTTTCATCCTCCATAAAATGGGATTTTTCCCATATGGATCCTGAGCTCCCTTCTACTCTTAACAGTCCAGCCCAATTTCAAGCATGAAACCGTGTTCAGCTTCTATTCAGTAGCACAACCTCCTATCCCACAGGCAATGAATAAATACTCTGGTCCCCTTCAACCTCTATGCCTTGTAAAACTTATACTTCACCCAATTTTTTTTCTGTATTTCTTTGAATCTTTTTTGCTGCCTAAGATGAATCAGCAGCAGCTTCTCACTAGTCATGGGGCTGCTGGAATAAAACAAAAGTATCTGGTTGCCCCGTCACCATGAATGGATGTTTATAGCTTCCTCCCAGCCTTGTTTCCTGCCCGGCCTCACCCAGAATTAAGCTCTCTGTATATGGAAATAACATTCTCCTCAGCACAACTCATTTCAAATGTACAAAGGAGGGAACGGGACCCAGTGGATTATAATTACCTGAAATGTTAATATGTCTTAGGTCCAAATATGGTAGCCTCTCTGAACTCCACATTCTTTGGCCAATTTGACAAACTACACTTATCTCGTCCATTTCCAGGACAAGACTTCTCCATTTTCAACTCTATAATAAGGCAGGGAACATGCAGAATGAGCTTTAAGTAATTACATTATCTCCAAACTGAAGGTTTTAAGGCTGAAGATAAATGGGATATTTTCTTTGGAATATCCTCCCAGTTAGAAGATATAAGATGGTGAATTTATAACATTTGTAAAGCTAAAGAATAAATGGAAGGGAACTGTAACTTTATAAAATTTTACCTGTACAGGATAATTTTACCTACTCTTTGAGCTACTAGACAGTTACTGCCTTAAATGGCCTGGGATGATTTAAATTCAAAGGGATATTTGATTATTTGACCACTCTGAGACTTGAGAAAACACATGAATAAGAAAGAACAGACAAGTTAGCGTTGATATTAACTCTTATTTAGAGTTATCCATTGTAAGACATCAAGGTGGAATGGATTTATGTACGCATTTTTTATAGGAATAACAACAACAAAAACCACAAGTTATCTTCAATTTAATTCATGTTAGACTCTCTATTGATGCTAAAAAATGGAAAATAAGCCTATTTTCAAAGTTCCTTCAGTTCAATTCAGCAAAAAATGTATGATGGGTTTACTAAGTGAATCAGTCATTTAACATACCAGAATGTGATTATTTCTTCCCTCCCCAATGCACCAGAATCTTTGTTTTTGGAAATATGCCTTGCTTGTGACCTTCAAATATGGTAAAATTCCCTTTCAAGGTTAAGTGAAAAATACTGATCTTTATCTTCATAAAATTCCTCCTTGGACCAACTTGCTTAATTCATTTCTATTAAGCAATGGTAGGTGCATTTGCTGGGT